CTCTTCCCCTCTCACGCACTCTCTCAAAACAAATAAATAAACTTAAAAAAAAAAAAAAAAAAAAAACCCTGTAGTCTGATAATCACCCATCAGCCCCTTGAGGCCTTAGTTTGTTCATTTATAAATATTGAGGCACTGGACATAAGTCTTGGGCGTCTTGGAAGACATCCTCAAACAAGTTAAATTTAAGCTGATATCTACTGATTGATAAGTTGTTAGCCAGGTACAAGGCAGGTGGGAAAGAAAATGTATTCTAGGCAGGAAGGAACAGCAAAGACAAAGCTCTGAGTGGGAAGAAGCATGACACTTTCAAGAAACTACAGTATGGAGGAGGGGGTAGTGGTGACAACAAAAGTTGGAAAGGTTGTCAGGGGTTAATCAGCTAGGGGAAATTTTTTTGTCTTTACCCCAAGTGCAAGCAGAACTTAGTGAAGGTTTTTAAGCAGGACAGTAACATAATCAGATCTACATTTTTCAATGCTAACTCTGGCTACCGGGTGGAGACTGGTTAGGACAGTAGTAAACCTAAAGCCAGGGAGGCAATTAGTAGTGTCCAGGTGGTGTGGCAACAGTGAGACCTTGCACTTGGGTGGTACAGGGGTATGAAGAGGGAGGTGATGGTTGGAGAAATGTTATGGAAATAGAATGGGCAGGGATATGGTGATTGACTAGAGGTGAGGCGTGAGTAACAGCAAGGTTAAAAAATGATGTAGTTTCTGAATAGGACCACTGGAAAGCAATGGGACAGCTGCTGAGATGGGAGCATAAGAAGGAGGACAGTGTTGGGCATGTTGAATCCAAATCAAGCCAGCAAATAAGCAGTTGAAGAAAGATTAGGAAGGGAGACATAAATGCAGGGATCATCTGGAAGGAGATGGTAACCAAAGCCCTGAGGAGCACCAACATTTAAAAATGAGCATAGGAAACCAATTTGACAATAAATTTCATATATTGAAAAAAATAAAAAATAAATAAAATAAAATAAAATAAAATAAAATAAAATAAAATAAAATAAA